CTCATCCCTGAGATGTCCGAGGTTAAACACTGCTCCGAGAATTAGTGAGATATACCTGAACATTGAAAGGTCAGTTGGATATATTATAATATGGATGGTAATGGCGGACATACCTGAATCAACGAGGATGGTTTGGGCATTTAGGTCAAGTGAAAGTGAAGTTGAGGTTAAGAGACTATAATTTAACAATGGAACACACCAATGGCTAGTCAAAAATTCAATTGAAACCTAGAGCGTTGGACCTAGTGAAACTTGCAAGGGTTCGCAAAGGGCTCAAGTGAACCTGGTTTGAAAAGCCCAATGGCTACCCTTCGACGTTGTCAAAAATGGGTGCAGGGATGTTATAGAACCACCAGGAAGCCCCTTCAACATCTCATGAAGCGGCAGTTGAGGAAGATGGAAAAAGAAATTCAAGTAGTACTGTAGATCTAACCGATGAGTCAAGGTTCAACCAAAATCCAACCATACTGACCTTAATGCCATTTGCATTCGCTTCAGGTAAATATAATCCAGTGTTCAAAATTCTGGCCATGCTATGGATAACAGCATAAGTTATAACTGAACAGATTCATCGCAACTTGGGATGGTGGGGCACCAAAGTGTAAGCAGAGCGGGAACAGGCGGTAAGCACAATCACAAAATGCAGCGAGGTCGTGAGGACTGATAGGGTGGCCACCGGGGGGGTTTCTTTGACATCGATGTCGCCATACAGCATAAGAATGAAATGAATACAGACTAACCGTTAGTGTTGAGCCTTGAGGCAGTTGAACACAGTCAACTTCACCATCTTCGAATCGAATCCCAGATGCAAGGGACAGCAAGCGACGCCAATAAAAAAATCATACCTCCGGTTAAAATACGACGACTCACCGACGAGAACCTCGAGACCCTCGAGATTCAACCCATCACCCAGAAACCCGAGGTCCAAACTTGCTGGAAGATTTGATGAATGTAACAAAAGAACGAGATACCACATACCGGTTGACTGCCAGTGTCGAAAGAACCTTCCAAGCTTCCGCGGATCAATTCCCAGTGGATTTTATGGCCCCAGGTGAAGAGCAGAACTAATTGAAAATAACCAAAGATGATAAGTTGAACCGTGGGAAATCTGTGATGGAACATTGATTGAAACCATTGGGCGTGAACCTGATTGGCCTCGAGAGCCCCGATAGCTCGGAAATATATCCCTGACACTAGCTGGGTCTTGAGGACAATAAAATGTGGAGGGGAGTATTCTGAGTTACAGTCCGTAGGGCTAATTTCAAGTTCAACCAACATCCGGGAAGCCGGACATATGGTACTCCAGTGACTTATGAAGTGCAAGGGGCATGGTCGGTATTAAATTGGACATACTGGGATGATCATTCAACTTGATTTAAGTTGGAATATCTAGATTGTTCGGCCTGTGAGACAGCGTGAACAGTCCAACCAAGGCTCACAGAGTCCAAATTACCGAGAAATACACCTCATCGAGGTAAGGACAAGCTCAAAATATCTGAATGCAAAAAGACCGAAATAAAACATCGCCGAGATGCCCGAAACTTTGGGAATTTCATCGAAATCTGCGATATGCCTGAAGTTTCGTCACTGACGATGGTAACAGCAAGGACGCGAGCCTGAATTTACCCAGTTGAGTTGACTGTTGAACATATTGGTTATATTCCTAGGTGCGAAGACTTTGGGAAATGTGGTTCCGTGAGATTCGAACCCATGATCTGCCGAGTTCGATTGGAATCGAACTGCAACCTTCACGCGCTTCGTAGAAAGACGCCGGAATTTGATCGGACTAACGGATTAACAATATCATCCCAATCAAGAACTTAATTCCGAGTACAAAAGGATTTTTCGGGGAATTCTGGAAGCGTGAAATTTACCAGCCTCCGAAGAGGATGTCCAGTATTTGGAGCCTTAAATACGGTACTTCAAATTTACTTCCTGAAGCATGTTAACACCGAATTTCCGCGCAATCTCCTGCTGCTCAACTGTCAAATGGTGCCTGCGGCTTTCCACCTTCCTAATTTCCTTGTTGTCTCCGAGGGGATCTGTTTAGGAAACATGCATCTCGGATTTTTGCAATGCTTTTCGCCCAGAGTCACGGTGTTTGGATACATCTTTTCCAGTTATCCGCAATGCCTGACTTCGACAGGAGTTTTGGCTATTTGATCATGTTTAAACTTGAACAAAGTTACAACTTTGACGCAGAACAATTCGTCCAGGAACGTTCTGCGTCGAAGTCAATGCAACTTTGTTCAACATTCAAAAAATGAACTCATTCGTTTATATGCTTGTCAGAGACAAAGGTGCTATATGTGGATGTCGGGAATCCACTCAATCATCGAAGTAGGTGCGCACGACCGTATGCCACGAAGAATTCGTGGTCATCGGCAGCGCCTAAATTGCTGAGTCCACGCCACCTTCGTCACTTCGTCAGACCGGCTAATTTTGAGAAAGTTCGTCACCCACCGTAAATTTAACAAAAATGTGGTATTCTTCGTCACTTGGAGTCCCGGCTGTGAATCTTCGTCAGTTGAGTTCCTTGCCGTGCGAGCATTGCCGGTTCAGGTTTGGGTTAGTGGTTTGGGTTAGATGTTAGGGTGGTTAGGGTTTTGGTTAGCGGTTCGGGTTTGAGGTTTTGGTTAGGGTTTGGGTTAGCAGTTAGGGTTTTGGTTAGTGTCAGGGCCAGGGAATATTGTAAATGGGTTGGCGAAGGAAATTTTGGAGTTTGATAACGATAAATGGCAAATGACGAAGAATACCACATTTTTGTTGAATTTACGGTAGGTGACAAACTTTCTCAAATTTAGCCGGTCTGACGAAGTGACGAAGGTGGTATAGACTCTAAATTGCTGTCAGCACCTCGGGAAGGAGATCAATTGTGCAGTAAATCAGCTTCTTCTGGTGTACTTGGCAGATTGGCGCAATTTGCCAGAAAGTATAGCCTCAGCCCTATTTACAGAATCTAGAGGCCCTTATCCTGCTCACAACGTCCGATAATTCTGAATGGCTGAGTCCATTGTTCTTCCCTTGTAAATTTGCACCCCACTCCAAGTCTACGCGGTACGGAAGTAGAATGGCTTGGGAGTAAATGGCATCGATTTGATTTAGAACTGCTTTTGACACTATATCTATGATCTATCTGCCACGAAGCCAACTGTCGATCAAGACCTTGTTCTTTCGTTGCCTATAAGTTAACTAAACTTTCTGTGTACACACATTTCACCATGCTCAGTTCCACTTTGTTCCTCCTGACCGTATTTACTGGTGTCGCACATGCAAAAACAGACTGGTCGATAATCACCCCCGACTCCGACCTCAATACGTCGATGGTGATTTACACCATTTTAGCTGTTGCCGTCACCGTGGTTCAATCGATTCATGGCCTCGCAGCAGTGGGGAAAATGGAGGCAGGCCTCGGCCGGCGAACCTTTGTTTTCCTTCTCCCTGGTCTTGTGTCTCTCTTGGCACTCTACATCCTCCGCACATATTTCCTTATTCATTACAACTCCACTCATTTTCCTCGCGCCTTCTACGCCATGCTCTACTTTACGGAGCAGTTCTCCAACATCCTGATCGCTGTGTCGACAATGATCCTTCTGTACTGCACCGAGCGTGACTGGTATCAGAATACCGTCATTCTCCGGGCCAGGAAGGGTTTAGGATTCCTCATAATCCTCGGCTGGCTGGGACTTGTTGTTGCTCAGGCTGCTCTCTATCGGCAGCCCTCGGATGTGGACCACAACCCTCTTTTGACGATAGCTCTGTACCAAGACGAGCTTACCCATGCCATTATCGGCTTCTACAACTTTGTCACCCTCGACATTGCCCTATCAGCATTCATATTGTGGATTCATGCCAGGAGACGTCCAGACCCAGAAGCGGGCGCAGATCCTGTTCGTCCTCTGTTTTTTTCTCAATTTTTCGGGAAAACTAATCTTTGGTTCAGCGTATCAAGATTCTACTCCTCATCACAGCCCTCCTTGCCATTCGTTCGCTTGCGCTCCTGGTCGTCCACGTCATATCGATTGTTTCTATCCCGACGCATCTCGCGAACACTATTTGGAACTTGATCTTCTGCGGTTGGCTTATGCTCGACCCAACGCTCTGCTATATTGCGTTGTATGCGTTGCTGCATTCATCGCAGGTTGAGCCGCCCATCAAGTTCCGAGTAATTGTGGCAACCTGCTGCATTGTAGCGGCCGGAGTTCTGAAGACAGTATTGGCAATAATGGCAGCAATGTGCGGTCCCCGCATCTACGTGGTGCAGAGCTGGGGTAAAACATATGTTGTGGAGGAGTATTAGTTGTTCAAGCCAGCATCCTGGCTGCCACATTCATTTCAACATTCAATAGTTTATATATTCATCGTTATTTGCTGCGCTAGGTGCTCCAAATTTTGGTTGCTTCGTTTTGCTTAATCTACGGCAACATGAATGTGAAACAGCCGGTCCTTTCGATAACACTGCACAAGTTCGATACAGATCCGGATATTGAACCGTGGGAAGGTTTGATCTGGATCGTTGATCTCCCTTTTTTGGGGGGATGAAGCTCTCCTTGAGGCTTGACGGCATCCCGCGCATATAATACCGATCCGCCTCGCACGACGTCAGCCGTGTCTCCGACTCTCCATCCGCTCAGAATCAGCGATCTTCGCAAACGCACAGTGATACGCCCCTACCTCCGCCTTGCTGCGGAATGCCCTGCCCTCCTCCGAGCGCTGCACGAAGTCCTCGAGATCTCGGTAGGTGAGCACGCCGTCGGCGCCTAGATAGAGGCGCGTGATGATGGCTTTGAAGGCCGACCAGGTCATGTTGGCGTCTACGGGGGTGAAGGCGGCGGCAGAGGCACTGCGCCAGAGGTCCTCGGTGCTGGGATCCGGGGTGTATTATAACGTGTATTATAACGCGCGCAAAACGCGCGGGCACTCCAAGCCTGCGTTTCGGCAGAGTCCTTCATCAACTGTGAGTCATCGTGGGAGTCCGAGTTGCCCGCCGGCGTTTTTTATGTCACTTGAGGGAATCGAACCCCCATCGGTCCGCTTCCGAGTTTCATGTCGGAGCGGGTGTGTTACCACTAGACTATAGTGGGCATATGCAGGTGGTGGTTCGGAGTGCATTGGGTTCCTGTATTTTTTTTTTTTGAGCCGCAGGATGTGTACATCAGATTTCCCACGGCTGCAACCGCGCAACCGAACTTCTGATGCACAAGTAAGAATCGAGGTCCAAGCCCGGAGTAAGTAGAATTGTCGGTTTGGAATTCAATTCCACCGACCCCCCAGCTGCAATGTTGATTTGAACTTTGAAGACGAGAGTCGAATTGAGTCAAGACAATGCCAATCATTCGATCAACTATCTCAGTCCCGATTTGGGTTCTACATACGCCAAATACTTACGGCAAGGGGCAGGTAAATGTTGTGGTATACAGTGACCAGCGAGCATACCATCTCCGCACTCAACACAACATTGAGGGCGAGAGCGAGGACGCAAGACTCCCAGCAATTTCGCTAATTCACTTCTTGCACACAATTCAAGTTTCCCGGGTGCCAACAAGAAGTGCAAAAAAAAAACGATCCGGTGCCGACGGTCCCAAATGCACGCTCTCCTCCTTTGGTCCTTGGATACGGGCAGACAAACCACAGTGGATACGATTTGTTTAAAGCAACACCTTGCATATGCAGCATGTATCAACGAGCGCAGATCGGTTATATGAAGGTCCGAGGAGAGCTGGGATATAGCACTTCGGGTGGTTGGACCCGCGAGCGGCAGGATCAACTACATGTATTTCAGGCCTAATTTGGGTTCATGCGGTTGCCTGAAGGAGGAGTTAGTATATACTGAATGGCCAACATCGGCCAGGTCGCGGGATGATCGCCGAACCGCAAGACGAGTTGGAAGGTAATACTAATAGTACATACAAAGCACAGCGAACTCTGACGGGAGTGAACTGCGTTGCTGCAGGTCTATTTCGCCACTTGAATTTATCCGGTGTCCTTCAGCCCCTCTTCTTTCCATATCCTACTAATCCAACCTGCGCCGATTATGCAGACAATATAACGGCGCCCCATCATATTGTTATCGGTATTTCCTCTTTCCTCCTAATCCTGACTGCGGCATAACGGCGAACGCCTCCCAGAACGATAACAAGAACCAGGCGAAGCATTTTTTCCACTTCGAAATCGAATTCATTGCCGCAAGCAATTCAGGTGGAAAGAGTTTGTCGACCGCACCCAAAAAAAATGATCGACAGACACCCGCCGCCTTGAAGTCCACATAGAAGTATGCCGACACAACAAGATGTCAATGCATGGAGGTGGTCGTCTGAGATTTAAATTGTCCACCGCCGCATATGATTCGCTGAAATTAACCCATTGCATATGTTTACCTCTCGGCGCCGAGACCAGAGTCAAATTGGCGTCCCAGCGAAAAAATCACACTTCGGGGATTGGTTGAACCTTGATCCAAGGAGGGGCGCGCGGATCAATTATTTCAGGCCTAATTCGGGTTTCGTTGCCTTTAGACCCAAGGAGGAGGACTGGATGAGTAATGTCTGCTTCAGTAGCGTCCAGGCGGGTTCGTAGACGGATCGCAAGACCAACAATAGTCCAACAATCGAAGGAAGGCAGTCCACCGGCAAGATGGATGGGTCGTATCTGCCAGAGAGGTGATATCTTGACGGGACGTTGTTGGTACTGTGACTCGGTGTCGATTAAGGGGGAGATAAGGCTGTGCCAGCCCGGAGAGCAAACCGAGGACAGTCAGCGGTGGATGAGTCCAAGGTTGAGGAAGGTTCTGGACAACAGAGGACAACAACTTGATCAGTCAGAGCGTTGGCTGCGGGTTTCCGGGATTGTCTCTTTTCTTTCTCCCTCTTGCTTTGTACTACCCACCAGCTCAGTCCACATACCCACCAATACCCCTTCAACGCCGCACGACCCAACGACGACGACGAGCAGTGACTGGGACAACTCGGAGCCTGCCCAACGATGCGCGAGAGCAACTTTGCGTTTCCCGCGCAGAACAAGGCCTGCGTCTGTATCACCTCCCAGCTGTATGACAGACGCGGTCAGCCCCAGTTTATTTTATTCGCTATTTTATTTATTTATTCACCATTTAATATACGCAGCCCTGGACACCTCGTCCGCACTCCCGCTATTCAACTCGTTGACGCACCTGACATATCTCACCTCCACCTCCCCGCGGATCCGCGAGATCATGACGATGGACGGTGGCCTCGAGCGTCTCGTCCGCATCCTCCGCGACTTTTGCATGTCCCCGCCCCCGCCCCAGTCCCCCGCAGCCTTCTACGGACTTCTCCCCCCAAACTACCGTCCCCCGCGTCCCCCACCTCAGCTCAATCCTCCGCAAGGGCAATTCGACAAGCACGCCGCGTACAGGTTCAGTCTCGCGTTCCAGTGCGTCGTCAACATCGGTGTGCGCGGCAGCGAGCCCATTCGCAGTCGCGTCGTCCAGGCGGGCACCCTCGATGTCGTCGGGTGTATTCTCGAAGCCTGGTTGGCCGGTCGGGGGTTTGCGGTGGGTCCCAGCACGAGTGCGACGGGGCTGCCGCGTGAGACGAGAGAGGCGAGGGCGGCGAGGAGGGCCGCCGCCGCCGCTGCTGCAGGGAGAGGGCGTATCGAGGCAGTGGTGAGTCTCCATTTCGTCTTGTTCTTGTTGTCCCGGGATGCCATTCCGCTCTATCTACTAACACTCCTTATCTTATTCCATTGCTCACTAACACCCACCCAGGACCCCTCTCCCAACCCTCACACAACCCGCATCCTCGCCATCAATACCAACACCAACACCAACGCCCGCACGCGCGCCGCCCAGGAACAGGAAGAGGCCGAAGAAGTCGCCCTCTTCCGCGCCCTCACCGCCAGCGCCAACGCCAACGCACGCACCGTCGTCGTCCCGACCCCTGCCTCCTCTTCTGCGTCTACGTCTGCTACGGCTACAAATTCAAACAAGAACGCAGTGGCGTCGTCGAGCAAATCCGTAGCGTCTTCCTCCAACGCTGCTGCCGCATCGGGCAGCAGCAGCCGCCTCAAACCCGAAGACAGGGACGGAGAAGAAGAGCTAGAGGCACAGACGCCGGTGGTCCGCGATCGGAGCGCAACGGTCGTCGTTCGGCGGCGCGGCGGTCCGGGTGAGGGCGGAGGGCACGTGCGGGAGAACACGAACGGGTACGCGTCTATGTCCCCATCATCCCAATCGACCTCCGCGCAAAATACTGCGAACGGGGCGGGGAGCAACAGCAATGTGCACACGAGCGCGGCGATGCACGCGCTGGCGCAGTTGCATGCAGCGCATTTGGCTGCGCAGGCTCAGGCTCAGGTTTCCTCGTCTAATTCCAATTCCAGTTTCAATTCGCATTCACCAGCAACCGCAAACCCCCACCCGTACGCCCATCCTCACCCCTCCACCTCCACCTCGGCCTCGACTCCGTCCTCGTACGCCCCCTCCCCCGCGCCCTCGCCCTCGCCCTCCGCTAGCAGCGTCACTTCCGTCACGAGCAACACGAGTAACGTCAGCGTGCGCGGCAGCCCCTCGAACGCGTCAAGTGTAAGAGGGAGCCCGAGCTACAGCCGCATGACGAGCCCGAGCCCGACTCCGAGCGTGGCGGCTGATACGGACACGGACGGCGATGGGGATGCCGAAGACGGTGACGCAGACGGGGGGGATGTGGTGATGGTCACTGCGCCTGCGACAACTATCGCGCAACCCCACGCGCATGCAGGGAGGAGCAGAATTGGAGACTCAAGCGCGAGCGCGAGTCCAAGCCCGCCGCCGTTGAATAATATGACCGTGCCGCAAGGGCTCGGGGGGGAGCCCGCGATGGGCAACGGTGGCGTGAATATGGGGATGGGGATGATGAATATGGGCGGCGCCAACGCCAATATGAACATGATGGGCGGGATGAATATGAACATGAACATGAACATGAATATGATGGGCATGGGCGGGCTGGGGATGGAGGGTATGGGTATGGGCATGATGGGCGTGGGCGGGATGCCGATGGGGATGGGGATGATGAACCGCGACCCGCGCATTGCGGGGGAGGATGTTGCGGGCCTCGGGGGGCTCGGGGGTCTTGGCGGCGGGATGGGGATGATGGGGATGGGGATGGGCGCGGACGAGGGGATGGGGATGGGCATCGACGGGGGGGACGCGAACATGATGGCGCTCAATATGGGGCTGCTTGGGGGCGGCGGGATGATGATGAATGGGGAGGGGGGGATGCTTGGTTTGGATGGGATGGGGATCGGGATGAATGGCGGGATGATGGGGATGGGAATGGGGATGGGCGGGATGAACGGGATGGGAATGGGGATGAACGGGATGGGTGGGATGGGGATGATGCCGCTGCCCATTGGCATGGGCGACGTGAGCGGTTCTGCTGGCGGCGACTCGGAGGCGCGCGCGGATACTGATGCGGATGCGGAAGAGAGCGATGCCGGGGCGAATAATTCCACCAGCAACACCGCTAATAATTCCAACACCAGCAACGGGAATACGCTGGGTGTACGGCGGAGGGGCGAGGAGGACGCGCAGACGCAGCAGACGCCGCGTGCGGGGATTGTAAGGTTGCCGTCGCCCGAGTCTGCGTCTGCGTCCCCGTCGGTGTCTGTCGCGTCGTCTCCCGGCGCTGGGCCCTCGTCTGCATCTGCGTCGTCTTCGACGTCGGTGTACGATGAGGACGAAGGGGAGCTGGATGAGGAGGAGGGCGAGGTGGTTGTTGCTGTCCGCGGACCCGGGAATAACAGCGGCTCGAACGCGAGTGGCTCCGCGACGATGCGCCGCGCGGGGACCGTGCGCGCGACGCGTCAGAACTCACACCCATCTATAATACCCGATGCAAGCGCGAGCAGCGCAAACGCTGGGGAGGCCGGACCGAGTCGCGTTGGCGGGAACAGCGTTTCGTACCGCGATCGGGGCGAGATTGTGCGCCAAGCCGCCGCTTCAGCGTCCCCGCCGCTGCGTTCACCCCCAGTACCGAGCGCCCCACGCGCCAATCAACACCACACACCATACCCCGGCGCACCGCGTGTGCCTGCGGCGACCACCCCCGCGCCCGTACGTGCGCGCCGC